ATGCATGGGCCAGGAGACATGGTGTCATGGGTCAGGAGACACGGCAAGGTTCGTACTGGTATTTTGGAGGAGGGGACCCACAGTGGTAGGACTGAGGTGAGCAGCACTAGGAAGGGCAGATGAGTGCAAACCGAGGGTGGGTGGGTGCGGCATACTGTTAGTAAGTTCAGTAGTGAATTCCAGTACTGTGCTGGTTCCCACGGGTGGTCATGGGTTTATGCTGGGAGGCAGGGGTGGGAGATGGTGCCTGCCAGCTACTTTTTTTCCTGGAGAGGCCTTCCTGTGATCCCTGGCCCTCTCAGATATGCTCTGGAATGAGTAAACTACTCTTCCTCCCGTATGGCCAGGTGTTTTTCAAACTGCTGTTTCTAGGCTGTATCTCTGTGGGCTATTTGTCCTGCTGTCTCTTTAAGGTTGGGGTCTCAGCTTCCTCTTGTCTTCTAGACTCTCCCAGAGCCAAGTCTGCTGGTTTTTAAAATTCCAGGTTTTAAGTCTTGCTGGTTTTAAGAACTCACGAAAATTTGGCCCCTTTCCCATGGAGATTTGTCTTCCCTGTGTGTGCCCCCTGGTGTGACAGTCTGTTTCTCCCCTTCTCCATGCTTGTGGCTCACTCCCATCACAGATGGCTATGGTCCGTTTAGCTCCCCATGAGTCTCGACCCTTCTTATTCTCTTTGATGTGGCCTCTTCTCTACCTTTAGTTGCGGAGTTTGTTCTGCCAGTCCTCAGATAGTTTTCTGGGTTATTTATACTGATCTGAGTGTTAACTAGTTGTATTCATGGGATGAGATTGGCTTAAAGTCCTCTTACTCTGCCATTTTCCCAGGCTCCCCTGGAACACTTACTTTTAAACTTATTTAATTTATGAATAAGTTTAAAATCTTTAACACATTTTGACATAGCAGCACCTACTTATATTTTATAAACTATATAAATAATTATTGCTGGTTATCTTAGTGTGAGCTCACATAAGAGACAGTGTGATACAACAGTTTCTGCATGAGTAGTTCATTTGGCAAATGGTTTTAGTGAGTCAGAGTGAGGAAAATGAGTGGCGAAACAAGGAGGCTGGAAAAGTCAAACAAAGATGTGTTTTGAAATTTCACACCACTACAGGCAAGTGGAGCTGATCCTATGGGTCCAAAGTTGGTATGCATTTTTGTGAGGATGAATAACTGCCACTACTTATTCTAAGATAGAATGAGTGAGTGCAGTGCATTCAACATGGAATGAGGTAACTGACTGATATCCTTGAAGGGAGGTGCGGAATTGAGGGCCCAGAATCAGATGTTGCTCTTGGGGAATTATACATTCAGCAGTGGCAGTAGCTTAATCACCCTTGGTGAGAGAGATCCAGTGCTATTGAGCTTAAGCTCAGTCTCCATCCCTGCCACCATGACAATTCATCATACCTTGTGCCAAAACTAAGATGACTGAGGACAGAAGCTGTTTCACATCCACAGCATGAGCCATCAGGACCACTTGGTTAAGTGTCTTCTCTACAGCCAATTCCACAGATGACCATTAATATGAGGCACTGAGATGCATATGCTTTGTTTCCATTCCCATAGTCCATCTACATGCCTCTTATCTAAATTTTCTTATCTTCAATTTCCAACTCTTCTCCTTCCAAGACCTTGACATACCAAATCATTCTTCACAGTTCAGGACATCACCTCAAGCTACTACTCCTAACATTCAAAGTGTAGGATCTCATGTAATGCTCACAGCTCTGCCAACTGGGAGGTTTTCCCTTCAACATTATTTTCAGGGCTATTCCAACTGAAGCTGAAGTATAGTGGCAGTTAATTTACAGCTATCATCAATATTTAATGTGCTGACACATCTGTACACTATGCTTGATAATTTCCTCTTCCATTGGCTGGTCATAGATCACCCTATAACTCATGAGAGACATCATTGCAACAGTGATCAATGGCATATTGGTTTGTGAAATCTGCTGATTTATTTGTGCCTTCTCAGGCTGGATCCTGAATGTAGCATTTCCATCATAGGGTGGACTGCTCTTAAACTTGCCAAACTTTATCACTTGGTGAATCTTATAATGTACCATTTATGGTGGGCAGCTCCTGTATATGTCATTTGTTGTCTCTTGGTTAGGCACTCTATAGATACTAAGTTTTTAATAGCATACAAGGAGCTGTTTTTTAAATAACAATAAATAATAAATAACAATAAATAAATAACTTTTTAAAATAACTGGTATAGGGTGTATGGCTTTTGTTCATAACCTCAGGATTCTGTGTTGCAACTCCCATATTATGGCTTAGAATGACTAGATAGCACATCCTTATCCACCATAGATACTGTAAGCACTATTGGATATGCTAAGTCATATGGCCTGAGTAGTGAGACAACTTGCACTATAGATCTGAAAACTTGGTGGGGGACCATGATATTCCACCACAGCTGTTAACATCAGGCTTTGACTTGTCAAGTCTCATGTTTTTCTTTTTATACAAAGGACATAATACCTCAGTCAGCTGTACATACATTTAGCCTTGGAATACTATCTGTAAGGCGTTGCCACAGATTTCTGTCAGTCAAAATAGCCCCACTCCACTCTGACCTTGTTTTCCATTATGGTAATGATACCCAACTTGCCCCTAAAGTTTTGTGTCACCACCTGGGCCCTGTCATTTTTGAATCTTATCGTCTTTATTGCAACATAGTTTACTTCTAATCATGGTTTGCAGAGGAGAGCCAACATTGAGCTTCTAAAAATGTGTTTCCCCAGGGTGCCTGGGTGGTTCAGTCAGTTAAGCATCTGACTCTTGATTTCAGCTCAGGTCATGATCTCAGGGTTGTGAGATGGAGCCCCATGTTGGGCTCCATGCTGAGCATGGCATCTGCTTGCGATTCTCCCCTCCCCTCCTCCCCACCGCTCATGCTCTCTCTCTAAATAAGAAATCTAAAAAATAAAATAAAAAATGTGTTTCCCTTCACCAACAGAGTCATTATAGTAGTCTCTCCTCTGCCCTTTCAAGGAAAATAGGTTAGAGATAGGTCCTCTTGTCTCACAATATAAATCATTTCTAATACCTTCACTCCCTTTGATCTTTTCACCAATTCTTCAGCATCTGTCAAGAAAGTTCCAGTATTACTACCTCATTTATGATAGGTTGTTGTCCACACTTAAAGATGTCACCTGAGTAGTATATTAAGGCAGCTCCAGATCACTGAATTCTGAGTTACAGTTTTGTGTTCCCAAGTCAGTAAGTACTCTCCTATATTTACTTATATTCTGCCTCCTTCCTTGCTAATTTGTCATCCTTAAAGGCAATTTTAAAATATATTATTCCAGTCCATGCTATTACATATTAGCCAGTCCATGTAGTTCATTCTGGATTTTCCACCTACACAGAGACTATTTTGCTCCTTGTGCTGTGTTATACCTTACTCTTCTGAGTTGGAAGCAATGAAAAATATGGATGTTGGGTAAGATTAAATAGTCTTTTGAGGTAGGTCCCTTAGATGAGGTTATTGCCTTGTCTTCATGAACAGGGAAGCTGCTCTCCAATAGCAAGTGTTAGGGGGCTGCTTTTGCCAAGCTGAGGGTTCAGGGGATTGTAGATATTCAAGATTCTCACACTTATTACCATTCCAGTTCTCAGAGTTCTACTCTTTATTAGAATACATACATTGATATAGAGACCTGTAAATGTGAATGGAGTTTCCATGCAGCTCTTCTAAACTTACAATTAGAATCTGTGCCTTATATTCAGCAGTCTGCCTTATGACTGAAGGAGATGAAGGTCTCTTTAACCTAATGGGTTAGCATAGATGACAGGTTGGGCATTTCCACCAGACATACAAACCTAGGTCAGATTCAGATTAACGGAGTCTTAGGGCCTGCCTCTGCAACCACTCAGGCTGAAAGGTAATTCAGAATCCACAGAGTTGGAAGCCAAGCTCATCCACTTCCACACCCCAAATGCCAATTCATTTAAAGAGAATATTCAGGGCGCCTGGGTGGCTCAGTCCATTAAGCGGCTGCCTTCGGCTCGGGTCATGATCTCAGGGTCCTGGGATCAAGCCCCAGGTGGGGCTCCCTGCTCAGTGGGGAGCCTGCTTCTCCCTCTTCTCCCCATTTGTGCTCTCTCACTCTCTCAAATAAATAAAATCTTTAAAAAACCCAAAGAGAATATAGATGCATGTCTGAGGCACATCTCCCTCACTTCAACATGAAATCCCAGGAATAATCATGTACCCCCCCTTTACCCCAAACCATATATCCAGGAACTCACAAATATGGGGAAGCTTCTGGCTCTGGTTTTCAAATACGAGCTGTCCACAAGATTAATAAATATTTCTATTATGATGTAATGCATCCTAGTCATTTTAGAAATTAGATTGTCATCTGGCTCACCCTAAATCTGACCCTGTCATTGGGGTCACCTTAAATGCTCAGACCTGGGCTTTAAACCACACATTGTTTGCTCTCTTGACTCACAATTGTATAAATGAATGAATGAGGTAGTAAAGAAAATATTAGAACCAAGTGATAGGGTTGGCTCCACTGAGAAAACTGAAGGTGGGTAACAGATTGGAATCAAGGGAACACAATTTTATAGAGTAAATACAGTGTTTTCCCAAGGTATAAGATCCACATATAGTGTGGTGATATCTGTTGTCAAATATATCTCAGGATCTTGAGGGAGCTATGTAGATTGGTATAGGCTGTATGCCCAAGGAGACTTGGTCTTTGTCAGGCAGGGTCCAAATAAGGTTCTGTGGAATCTGAAGCTTATACAATTTAGATGGCTCTCTTTTAAAATAATACAAAATCAATCATGGTAATGAATATTTATTTATAATGATAACATATAACAAGTGTTAAACTTATGACAACTACAGCAGGCAAAAATTTCAAACAAATTATAAATATATATATGTGTGTGTATATATATATTTTTTTCCCACAGAAACACCACTTATATAGCTGCACAATCTGAAGTATGACAAAGTGACCATCCAAGGTGAAAGATATAATAGCTTTATTGCAAATCAAAACATCAAACATTTGCAAATTTTACATAAACATGTGGCCATGTAACAAAACCCCAAGAGTGACACTTGCCTCAATCAGTAAAAATGCAGACAGGTTCATGTTAAGCCTTTAGCATTTATATTTATGTCAAGGTTTTAAAATAAAGTAGCTCTCCTAAAATTTATTCTCACTGAAGTCTTGTTTCAAGTTAGAATAAACACTTCATTGGCTTCAAACATTAACTTTTGTTTATTTTGAAACATTCAGATAATTGTCAACTTTGGACAAATGGAGGCTTTTTCTGTGACCCATTTCCAAATTCACAGATTCTGGTCTATCTACTCTTTCTAGTAGCCTGGAATAACTTACCAGTTGGCATTTATATTATTGGAACCAACTTGAACTATTTTACGAATAAGCCAGATGATAAAGATTGCTTGGTTTGAAACAAATGACTATGTATTCAGAGATACAAGACTCAGAACAAAGTGCTTGCATTTTCTATAGTTTATATCAAACTAGATGGGCTCTTAAGCAATCAGCCTGGACTCATCCATCTAGAGTAGCCAGACTGTGAATACAATGATTCTAGCTGCCTTCCACATGTGGTCAGAAGGCTATATTAAGATACAGTCACTGTTAGTAATGAAGACAGCCTGTTTTAAGAAACCATTCAGCTATTGAATAACAGACACTCTCATAAACGGAATTTCAGAGAAACGTAAAATGAACAATCCTGTTCAAGGCTGTCAAAATTATTTTCTGCATGCTGAGATGTTCTTCACACACATATAGACTGCATGCAGGTAATCTATTTATTTTTGAATTCCAGACTGTTTTCTTGCAAAAACAATTGCTGTTAAATATAATATATAGCAAAGCATCTCTCTATCTTTGGTTCCATGTTTCAGAGTTATTTTTTTTCCAAAAATAAATAGGCGTGGCAGGAAAAATAATTCAACTATCTTAAGAGAAAACCTAATATTTTATAAAAATTAAGCAAAAAATATATGTGATGTTCTTTAGACTAGTTTTCTAATTATCTCCCTTAATATCTAACACCAGTGCAATTTTAATATTAAAATGATTGTGCACACTGTATTTAACTATACAGCAGAGACACAAAAAAAGTCAAAAAACAAAACAGTACTTTCCCTTAAAAATAATTTAGGAATTATGCATTCTAAAAATGTATGGGAAAGTAGAACTGCTGATATGTTAATAAAACTGACTGAAGGAGCGTTAAGAAAAGGCAATCAAGATGTAGTAATACTCACAAATCCTAGAGATGGCAAAAAAAAGTGAACACAGTACCCAAACTCTCCCATTTCTGGAAAATATATGTTAGAATTGTTCAGCAACTTTTTAAAACTAATATCTATGAAAGTTTCCAGTTATGGTTTGGACTCTCAAGAGATTTAATGAGCTTCATTTGTTAATGGTTTCCGTCTCTTTTCAAATAAGATTTTTGCATCAAATAATTCTCTTTCCCTGTATCCTAGGGATGGTCCCTTTAGATACTTTGCTTCAGCTGCCTTGTAATCTAATCCATCAACAGCAGAAATTGAACAAATGATTGCTTCTGGCAGAAGAACTTCCAGGATAAATTTAATTTTATCATCTCTTATCAGAGTCAGCATTTTTTTATCTATTTGTTTGTAGATTTCTTGTAAATATTTCACCACCTCATCCAACTGATCTTCATCCTCAAAGTATGTTTCAATACAGGGAGTGAACCTATTTGCATTCAAAAATGACTTCAGCCACCTGGACCCTTTTGTGCCTTTTAAAATGGCTAGAAGATGGTTCTCTGTTCCCTTTGCATTCACAATGAAGTCCACTAGGTTCTTGTTGGCTCGGTCCCGAGCAGCCTTCATTCGGTCAGGAAGAATTTTCTGGAAGGACATTTTCTTGGTCTGGGAAGTCACAACCATCTGTTCTGCAGAATTCTCATTATGCAGCTTTGGGAATAAGTTCCTAAAGGTGTCCTGTTTGATTACTTTTCTAAGTGGATAACTAATATCAGCAGCATAATACTCAAGGAAAGAACCCGCAAAAGAACCACAACCTAGTCTAACTCTGTAGTCACAAATCAGCGAGATGCACCAGTCAATACTTTCACTGTATTCCTCCCTGGCTTTCTCCACTAGTGCTTGTTTCTCTTTACAATCAAATTTCTTTAATCTTCTAAAAGGCACCCTAATGCCTCTCTTTTCAGGATTCATGCTTGCCTCAACAAAAAGCACACTTGCTTTTCTTTCTTTTCGCCTGATGCTTTTCACCACTGCTGGCCAAAATGGATATTTCTGATATTTAAACCAGACTATCATTCCTGTTTCAAATGAACGAGGCTCATAATTAAAAACAAAGCGTGGAAGTTCTTCATCTTCGTCGTTGTCATCTAATACGGAAGTATCAATAGGATTTAGCTGTGCTGACTTATCAGAAGCCTGAAGTTCTTCCCCAAGTTCTTCGAAATCCAGTCTCTGAAGATCTCTTTCATTATTCATAAGAAGGAGTGAATAATCCAGGACACGGTTAGAGGCACTAAGTGAAACCTGACATTCCCATGAACAATGCCTGGGCAATGCCGCAGCACCTGCTTCTGATTCTACAGGTTGATTCTGGCTGGTACTTGAGCACGGATTTGAAGGGCCTTCTCCAGGATCTTCAACATTCTCTGAGAAGGTAGAGCATTCAGAGGAAACACCCAGGGTCTCTGGGCAAATATCCTGTGCCTCCTCTTTCACAGCTTTGGGCACAGTGAAGGTGTCTGATGGCCAAGTTGGAGTGAACTTTTCATCTTTAACGCATACATCCTCTTTTTTGATTGTGGAATACAGAGGCATAACTGCTGAGATATCAATCTTTTTCTTGCTTTCCTTTTCATCCTCATCTTCTGAAAGGGAAGGAAAAGTTTCATACCAGCTGGAGTTTTCTGATGACTTTGTTTCCATTTCAGTTGCAAGAGTATCAATGGTTGCATGCACCTGTGATTTATCATCACACAGGGAATCATTATTCTCTAAATTAGCTCCTAACAGGGATGTTGCGGTTTCACTTTCCTCAAGACACTTTGATAGGTCTCCTTCATCTCCGTCATCTCCTTCATGCTTCCGATACTTTTTATGAGGGGGTGAATCAGAAAGCTTTTGTGGATCATTTTGAGACAGAGTAGTGGTTGCTTCTTCATCTGAACTGCTTGCTTGACTCAAATTTGTTCTTTCATTCAGAATATCCAGTGCCACTTTTAGTGACCTTTCATAGGCTGTTTCCTCTTTAGGTGGAGCACTGACTTCTGACTGTGCTGCTAGTGAGGAGGCAATGGCTTCAATTCGAGATTTACTTAGAATCTTTGTTTCTGTGCTTTCCACTTTAATTTTTTCATCCAGTGAGAGTATTTGAACTTCCAGGGAAAATGTCTTTTTTCTCTTACTGTTTGATGACATCTCAGATCTAGACAAAACTTTTGCTGGCCATAACTGGTCTTTCCAATTGCACAGGACATACCCAGCATCCATTACGATTTAGATATGTGTGCCAAGAGGTTACTATCAGAACTTGAGGTGTCTGGCTATTCTTGACACTGCTAAGGCAGTTTCTACCAAAAGCAATACTCTGACAAAGCCTCTTTTGTCTTAGAACTACAAAAGGTATAAAGCCTGTGTGGCCTGTTCTTCTCCAGCTGAATTTCCCAAGGATGTGTGAACACGTTGTTTGAATGGGACAATATGGAGGATACTAGAATAGGGAAAAGGAAAGAAGAAAAGTATCAGCAAATAAAATTGTTTTGCCAAGGCTGAAGTGAGCAGTTGCAAACAGAGAAGAGAGAAAAGAAAGAACAATGTTTGGTGAGGAGAAAAATGCAACGTAATGTAAGGTGGGGCATGAGAAGTGGAGAAATGGCTTTATAATATCTCAAATTCAAGAACATGCCCTTATTATTGCACATGAGTACTAAGGAGTAAATTTATGTACATACTGACAGAGGTGGAAGAGGCTGCAGTGGTGTGTCAGGGACTCTATGTTATTAGATACCGTGGGACTTTGGTGCCCCTAATGTTTTCCCTAGGGCAGTGGAATTCTACACTAAGATAAAATCTTATCTGCAATTTAGATATCATGTTTTATTTTCCCTTCTTGTTCTTATTATTTTAAATTCTCTGTCTGTGATACTGTTATGCTATCTGGTTCATGTTGAAATAATTGCTCTCAGGAAAACTGTGAGGTGGGGACAAGAGGAAAGAAAATAACAAGTACCCTGTGTCTACTCTGAGCCAGACCGTAGACCTTTGTTTGAATCCTCACATCATCATGTGGATTTTTCCTTCTTTAAATATATAATTTTTCAACAGAATTTCAATTACATTCGATATGCTGTCTCATAGTTCACAAATACAAAATATGTTTCATTGCTTTGTTTGCCTACTTCATAAAAATGGTTGTCTGGAGAAATTCAGGAAACCTGGCAAGTGCCATCTTGTGACCAAGACCAGAACTGCAGCCTCCCCAAGAAGTACGGATGGCCTCAATCAGGATCAGATCCTTCTCAAGGGAGAAGGAAGGGTGGCAACTACATTTAGCCAGCTAGGAGTTGTCCCAGACTTCTATAATAATCTAAGCTCGAGGGTTTTGTTGTGTGGGATTATAACAGGATTATAATGTCTTCAACTACAATATTTCTGGTTATTTTTTACATGTATAAATGAATGCATATCACTTCAAACCAACGTCAGATCTCAAAAGAAGAGTTTGAACATCATTCCACACAAAAAAAGTATTTTCCACATGATTTTTTATGAATTACTTTAAATGAGGTTTTTCCCACATTTGCAACATTTTATGTCAGTATTTTCCCTGGTGATGTAAACCAAGTAAATGAATAAATATATAGTAACAGTATTTTAAAAAGAGAGCCTGTCTCTCCAACCACACAAATAATCCCATTAATACTGTGGCAGACATGTTTTTCCCAGACTTGTTGCAAGTCCAGTAGTAGCATACATATGTGTCACTAACATACATATTTAATTTTAAGAGAGATCATATGATAAATGCTATGCTATAATTTGCTTTGCTCACTTCATCTTATTTCTCACACATTTCAAATCACTAGATGTAGAAGTTCATGTTTCTATTCTCCAGTATTTAATTGTATGATTACACCAAGCTGGATTATCATTTTAAGAAGTGCTTATAGAAACAAACCACTCTATCTCACTGTCAGACCACAGCCCTGCTGACCACAGCCATACCTGTGGTCTGGAAGAATGTGTTGCAAGGAGAACACATGCAGGACTGTAGCCAACACAGCAACCAGGTTACATGGATTTGATCAGGTCTAGGAAAATTTCCACTATTGGCAAAAAACAAGGTATGTTTGCACGTCTGCATGTGTCTATGAATTCTTATGTGTTTGAAACAGAATGGGCATCTTGTTTCAGCTTTATTTTTCTTTCATGATTATAAAAATAATCATGGGGAAATCTCTAAAGAGATGGAAACAGACTGAAAAATAACACTAAAATAGTAACCTGACCACCCAGAAATGCTAATATAGCAGTTTATTTTCTCCCAATTTTTTTTTCTAACCACACATATATATACATGCATGGGGTGTGCAAATGACTTCACTCAACTACATACATGTTCCCCTTTCCATATGCATGTGCAGATGACACATACATAATCTCTCTATATGGCAATCAATTTACAGTATTTTCCCCCAAGCTGTCAAATATTTTTATCTATCATTTTTGTGTATAAATAAATGAATGCTTAAAAAGTCAAAGAGTAACAGAATGTCTAACAATATAAACATGGGATGCCAAGTCAATAAATTAGCATGAACAGCCATGCTGCACAGAAGCCTTAATATAGAGGCTGTAATCTGATCACCCCTTCTCTTATTGTGGACTTTTAAAGCATTGGGAGATACAAAATTTCCAAAGGATCAATTCCTTCAAAACATCAGCAATTCTCTCAAAAGCACACACCCTTCCCACCACTCTAAGACCACCCTCCCTATTTTCCTCATCTATACTCTAGGGCCCTGAGAAGCCCCTAGGAAATAATTAGCTTTCAGACAGCCATTACCTTGAAGCTTCTTGTCAGCTGCAGACTGGTGAAATGCAGCTCCTCCCCCAAGACTGGCCAGGCACAGCTCACTTCCAAGCTTCTCAGAGAACGCTCCACCCCCTCCCTGTGATGGGGATGACAGAAGGCGCCTCCCTGAATTGGGGAAGGGAGAACTGCTAAATTAAACTGCTGAAGTATGAAAGGGTAGAAATGGTTTATTTTCCCAAAAAAGTTTAAAGTGAATGGCAACAAGTGTCTATTTAATTTCCATTCAAGTCTGAGGGAGTGTGATTTTTTGATAAAAAGAGGTTAGCAAACCACTCTATTAAAAAACAAAAATCTAGTTTAAAATATTCCTAACATATTTTTTTCCTTACCTTCTCTGGCACCTTACCTTTGCAGGTAAATTTTACAACCCAGCTGATAAACCTCCATTAAGATAGCTCATTAAGATCTTGATTGGCAATGCACTAAAACTGCACATTATTTTAGAGAGAATGGCTTCTATATAATTTTTTTTCTGTTTCTAGGACATGGTAAGTCTTTCCTTTTATTCAGTTCTTCTAAATACTTTAGGAAAGTTTCAGAGAATTCTTCACAAACATGGATATTTTTGACTAAAGGCAGAAAAATCCCTGGTTTGGCCGGAAAGTACCCATTTCACATACCCTCATCAATAACTGGAAATTCCTCCTTCTTATATTTTGTCGGTGTTTTTCAATTCAGGCAATTCAATGTGGTGATAATTAATTTTTAAGAAAAATTTACATGTCTTTGTTTATTTGTATGTCTGAAATGTATTTTGTAGATTTTGTTCATTAAAATTCTCCTGTCTGAATTTAAATTTGGATTTCTGACTTAACTTAGAAAGCCAATTTTTATATCATTAGTGATAATTTTGGGAATGAAGATATTTAAGGATGAAGTGTTTTATTTGGCCTCTGTATCATGTAGCATAAAACATATATGTTAAAAAATCCACCTTTATATAAGCTTTAATACTGGAACAATAAGTACCAATAAATTAATGAAGATCATCTCTAGACTGGCATATTATTGAGGGCTCTAATAATTAGAATATGTAATGTTCTATACTATAAACAACCCCTAAATCTCTGTGGCTTAGCCACAGAAGTTTATTTTCCTGATGTCAAAGTACAACGTAGGTCATCAAGTGGCTAGAATGGGGAGGGATCGCCATTCCTATCAGTCATTAAGAGATTCAAACTTCTTCCATCTATGACTGTACCATCTTCTTTAGCCTTGAAGTCCTCCACTGCGTTTTTTGCACCTGGCTAGCAATCTTCTGAAGAGGGTGGCTGGAGAATCCTGTGGCAGGTTTTAGGGGCAGGGCTGGCAAACATGACTGCTGGTTGCAGTCAACTAGATAAAACTGCCATAGAGGCCAGGGAAAGCAGTTTCCCTGTGTCCCAGGAGGAAAATGAAACAGTTTGGTGAACCCCGTAGCATTCTCTCTGCCACAGGAAGTTTTCCCTTTCAATCTTTTATAGATTTCCTTTATTCGTTTAATATTTTTTTTTTTTACAACCATGTATCATAGTTATAATGACTGGGACAGAAACTTGAGTTGCTCACCCTAAGTCTACTGTTTCCTCATTAGCAGAACCCCAGTTGCATTCAAGGTGCAGTATAAACTCTTAAAATACTACTTTTCCCAGACTCCTTTACCATATAAGCCACTGTCATATGGAATTTCTTGCCAAAGAATATAAGCAGAAATACTTGTAAAGATTCCAGAGAAGGTACCTCCAAACGGGGTAAAGAACCAACTAGGCCTTTTTTCACTTTGCCTCTCTCTCTTGCTTCCCCCTTAGAATTTGACCATGATAGAATTCAGATAGTCATTCTGGACCAAGTGACTTAGAAAAAGGATGCAACTCACTAGGGATGGAAGATCCTGAACCCCTGAGTGGAGCCAGCTCTTTCCAAACACTTTAACTTAGTGACACAATAAACTTTATCTTATCTAAGTCACTGTGTTTTCCAGTCTCTCTTTCTAGTAGTAGAACAAAATAGTTGATCTTGCAATCATTAACAAAAGTAATATCATTCGTATCACAGAATTAATCTTTTCAAAGCTTTCAAAGTATTACTATATAATTTAAAGAGGATTATCAGGCCATTGTAAATATGTCTTTATTTAAATAAAGAGACATATTCAATTATATAGTTTATAATGAAATATTTCTTATTCTGTCTTCTCATCTCACATGTTTGGAAAAAAACAAATGCAAATAAAGTAAGGTCATTACATAAAAACCATAATTTCTTTGTCTATTTTCTATATTGCACATAAATCAGGAAATGCTCCGCTACCTTACTATTTTCCAAACAAAATGCAAAGGAAAAAACTAATTCCTTGGACAATATTTTATATTTCACTGTTCTTTAGAAAGAAGGGGAGAAGAATGGTAATCAATAATAATAAAGGCTGTTACTACTAGTATTATTATAATGAAAATAGAAAATAATTATAGATCTAATAGTATCTAAACCCATTCCCATCACTTGACATATTATCTCATTTAAAAACCAGAGAGTTATTTCATGGAGGAGAGTTCCATAACTAACTCATTCTGCATAACAACAGTAGTATTATTCATAATAATGACAAAGATTATAGAAGCCAAAA